GCAGTTAGTCTTTAAGGTGCCACCACATTCTTATCTTCCTTATTTTTAAGGAAGCATACACTGAGAGAAGCACAGAAACATTATAATGAAATGATTCCAAGCGGAATATTTGAAAATGAATACAAGCAGTCAAACATCAGGGCTACTACCAAACATACTGGCTGAAGTACTGTATTTTTCTGTTTATAAGATGACCCAATGTATAAGACAACCCCCCTTTGCTAACCCCAAATGAGAAAAACAGGTATCAAAGGCTCCCTTTTTGCTAAGCCCCGTGCCATTGCAAAAGGCAAGGAAAGCGGCTCTGAAAGTGACTGCCACTTTTCCTTGCCTTTTGAGAAGGCACGGAGCTTAGCAAAAAGGAAGGGGAGGCACCTCCCCTTCCTTTTTGCTAAGCCCCGTGCCTTCACAAAAGGCAGTGGTAAAGAGCTGCCTTCTGTGTATAAAACAACCCTGTTTTTTCTCAAATTATTTAAGGAAAAGGTGTCATTTTATACATGGAAAAACACAGTACATTAAAACAGAAGCAGAAGAAGCTTGAAGAAATGACATCAAGTTAAAACATTATTGGATGTGGCCTCATGATCTTCTGGAATTATGATATGCAAATTAAAATAATAGCTTTACAGAACTAAACTGGTGTATTTTATTTAGGTAATGGCTCAACACTCTTAACAGATTTTAGATATAATAGTGCTTTTTAATTTTTGAAATGCTTTTCCTGTTATTTGAGTTTACATAACATAAAAGGTTAAATAACCCTGCTTGGTATAAAGAATGTTTTTCTTCCCTGAAAATGAGAAAATGTTATATAAAGCATATTCAGAATTTTTTAAAGGTGTAAAATATTGTCTGGATCCACACAGTGAATGCCAAGCTGTGGACATATCTTCAGAAATCATCAGTTTCTCAGGGTCTAATTTGACCTGGATTTTAGAAACAGGTAAATTTATTAACCTAAAACCTTACTTTTAATAAAGTTTTAGCAAAGAGTGACACTTTAACAAGACTTCATGCATTTATATGACTTCTATTCAGAGTTCTCTGCAAATCTCTCAGGAAATGTTTCCAAGTAATGCTACTTCCACATTTCATACATTTTTATGGTTTCTCTTATGTGTAGACTTTGATTCAGCCAAAAGTATACTTTATTAGTGATGCCCATGCTACACTCTAAGCATCTCTCCTGTGTGAGTCATCTGTGGTCACTAGAAGGCCCTCTTCTGACTGAAGTTCTTCTCATATTCTATGCATTTATATAGTTTATTCCATGTGAGTCCTTTGATGCTGCCTAAAAGACCATTTATGGCGGAAGCTCTTTCCACATTCCATGCATTTATATGGTTTATCTCCTGTGTGAATACTTTGATGCTGCCTAAGGATCCATTTATAACAGAAACTCTTTCCACACTCCATGCATTTATGTGGTTTCTCTCCCGTGTGCGTTCTTTGATGCTGCCTAAGGTCCCCTTTCAGAACAAAGCTCTTTCCACACTCCAAGCATTTATATGGTTTCTCCCCGGTATGAATACTTTGATGCCGCACAAGCTTCATTTTATCAATGAAACTCTCTTCACACCCCATGCATTTATATGGTTTCTCTCCTGTGTGAATGATTTGATGCTTCTTAAGCATCCATTTATGACAGAAGCTCTTTCCACATTCCAAACATTCATGAGGTTTCTCCCCTGTGTGAGCTTTTTCATGCCGTTTAAGGTCTCCTTTGTGACTGAAGCTCTTTCCGCAATCCATGCATTTAAAAGGTTTCTCATTTGTGTGAGTTTTTTGATGGGAATTAAAGTTCCCACTATTACTAAAGCTCTTTCCACAGTCCATGCACTGATACGGTCTCTCTCCTGAATGAATTCTCTGATGTTGCTTAAGATTCCATTTCCGACTGAAACTCTTTCCACACTCTGTGCATTTAAATGGTTTCTCCCCCGTATGGGTTCCTTGATGACGTCTCAGTTCCCCTTTGCTACTAAAGGTTTCTTTGCACTCCAAGCATTTATATGCTTTCTCTCCTGTGTGAACACTCTGATGTTGCCTAAGGATATCTTTCTGACCGAAGCTTTTTCCACATTCTGTACATTTATATGTGTGTATTTTTTGATGTCGCATAAGGTCCCCTTTCCAACTAAAGCTTTTGTCACACTCTATACATTTATATGGTTTCTCCCCTGTGTGAACACTTTGATGTCGTCTAAGGACTGCTTTCTCACTGAAGCCTTTTTCACAAACAATGCATTGATATGGCTTCTCCCCCGTGTGAATTCTCTGATGTTGCTTAAGGTACCGTTTCTGACTGAAGTTCTTTCCACACTCCATGCAGTTATAAGATGTCTCACCTGTATGAATATTCTGATGTACCTTGAAGACCCATTTCTGCTGGAAATTTTTTCCACACTCCAAACATTTATATGGTGTCTCCCCAGTGTGAGTGTTTTGATGTAGCCTAAGGAGATCTTTCTTAATGAAGGTTTTCCCACACTCTACGCATTTATAAGGTCTTTCCCCTGTGTGAGTTCTTTGATGTGTCGTAAGATTTGAGCTCTGATGGAAACTCTTTCCACACTCCATGCATTTATATGATTTCTCCCCTGTGTGAATGATTTGATGCTGTTTAAAATGCCCTTTCAGACTGAAAGTCCTTCCACACTTCATACATTTATATGGCATATCCCCTGTGTGAATCTTTTCATGCTGCCTCAGGAACCATTTATGACGGAAGCTCTTGTCACACTCCAAACATTTATATGGTTTCTCCCCTGTATGCATTCTTTGATGCTGCGTAAGGTCCCCTTTTTGACGGAAGCTCTTTCCACACTCCATGCATTTATATGGCTTCTTCCCTGTATGAATACTTTGATGCTGCTTAAGGAGCCCTTTCAGGCTGAAGGTCCTTCCACAGTTCATACATTTATATGGCATATCCCCTGTGTGAATCCTTTGATGCTGCCTAAGGTCCCTTTTCTGAGAGTATCCCTTTCCACACTCTATGCATTTATACGGTTTCTCTCCTGTATGAGTCCTGTGATGCAGTCTAAGACTTCCTTTCCGACTAAAGTTCTTTCCACACTCCATGCATTTGTATGGCTTCTCCCCTGTGTGATATCGTTGATGCACCCTAAGACTACCTTTCTGACTAAAACTGTTTCCACACTCCATGCATTTGTATGGTTTCTCTCCTGTGTGAGTTATTTGATGTAAAGCAAGGCTAGAATTGAAAGTGAAGCTCTTACCACATACCATACATTTACACAGTTTCTCTCCTTTGCCAGTGCTTTGAGCCGAAAATGTCCCATTGTCAGTGAAATGTTTTCCAGGGTCCATGTCTTGATACTGTTTTGATCCTGGCTGGATTATGCCGTATCTCTTTAATTCACCATCTTCCTCCTGAATATCAGGAAAAAAATTCTTTCTTTTCTTGGCATGCTTTTGCATGTGATTCTCTGGTCTCTTTGGATTTCCATATAAGTCTCTTCCTTGCTCAGGCTCTTTAACCTCCCACAATAGCTTCTGGTAGTTCTCATCCTCCTCCTTATGACCTAAATTTGAGAGAAAACAAGAGATAATATGTCATCAAAGAGTTTCAGGGAAACATTGGAGCTTCAAACTTAACCAGAGAGTGAATTACTTCTTTTCACTGTTACAAAAATGATCACCGTTTTTCTCTCTGTGCCCTCTACTGGAACTGTGAGAAAATAATTTTTTATTAATCACAATAATCAAGAAATGTATTGATAATAGACTCATGGGACATACTGTACAGTTTGACCTAGCTTGCGAAATTTTAGCTTCTGAGCAAGAAGATACTGAGAAACTGTTGCTGCAGCTGGGAGTTTACCACAAAAATTAAGAACTATGATGGTAGAGAAAAGAGAACATTAACCAGAAGTAAACCTACAAAATTAACTTTCTATAATGTATTGCAACTTTGATTGCAAAATCTCAAATTGTATTTGGTTACACATGCGTGAAATAATGTCTGTGACTGACATATCTTCCAACCAGAGTATAGAAATCTATAAGTACTTATTTCCACATGTGTTTAAATTGTAACGGATCCAAATTTCGGTAGTTAGTATTTCAAGAAATGGAAAAAGTTGTAGAAACAATAATAGAAGTTTTCCCAAAAACTGCTTTTTGAATAGGAACAGTATGATTGGACAAAAAAGAGAGTTAATTATGAATATGATAATGGCAGCCAGATTAGTGAGTGTGAAAAATTGAAAACTGAAGCATACATCTCAATTGACTGAACGGTGTAATGAAATTTGGAAAATAGCAGTCAATAATAAATAGATATGGGATATAAAATATAAAACGGGATTGCTAAATGAGAACAAGTTTGTTGAAATATGGCAAGATTGTTTTTGTATTATTGAAAGGCCATCTAGCCAAACAAGAGATAGTGGTATTTTGGAAGAGTTGTGGGGTCTCATTAATCAAAATGCTGGAGGAAGAATATCTTTATTGGTCCTGCTGATAGGTGCACTAATTTTAGTTTTGCTTACTTGAGCTGTATTATGGTTTTCTGTATTTCTTTCTCTCTCTCTTTTGTTTGTTCTTCTCATGTTATGTATATACTGTATATTGTAGAATTTTTAAAAAAATATTCTAAAAAAAGGGGAAAAAAACAAAATCTGAGATTTGGAGGAAGAGATACCTTTGACTTGAGGGCATTTTGCCATTCCATTATCATGATCTTTGGCTTTGCAGAAGAGCTCTGTGATTATTAATTGATTGATTATTATTGTCTGAAATTAACTTTTTTTCTGGCAGAAATGCATCATTTTTTTCAGTAACTAATTTGTTTTATACTATACCAATTCATTTAATGGTTTTAGTAGGCACTGAAGACTGTGCAAACAGAAGAGGAGAAAAGCAGAGTTGTCACCAGGCTTGGTGAAGGAATGAAAAACAACACTGGGGAAAGCTTGCTTTTTGCCTCTCTACGCATCTAACTGTATTCAGAATCCAGGATCAATAAATCTGGCATAGGTAAAGGTAAAGGTAAAGGTTCCCCTTGACAATTTTTGTCCAGTCGTGTTCGACTCTAGGGGGCAGTGCTCATCCCCGTTTCCAAGCCATAGAGCCAGCGTTTGTCCGAAGACAATCTTCCGTGGTCACATGGTCAGTGCGACTTAGACATGGAACGCTGTTACCTTCCCACCGAAGTGGTCCCTATTTATCTACTTGCATTTGCATGCTTTCGAACCGCTAGGTTGGCGGGAGCTGGGACAAGCGACGGGAGCTCACTCCGTCACGTGGATTCGATCTTATGACTGCTTGGTCTTCTGACCGTGCAGCACAGGCTTCTGCGGTTTAGCCCACAGCGCCCCCACGTCCCTTGAAATCTGGCATAGGGATGTGCTATTCCTCTGTACTGTACTGAGAATTCCTCATCAGACCAGACCAGTCCAGTTTTGGCTGCAGACTCTATAATGGCAGGGGTTACCTGACTGTTTTATCTTTTCCTCTCAAGGGAGAGGGAGGAGTGGATAAGGCTTTTGTCATCAAAAGCCAAGGACAAGCTCATGCACACTATTTTATTACAATGGGCACAAGACACATAGGTTCTTGATCAAATCGGGCTGAAATTCTTACCAAAAGCTAAAACAAGTCACCTTAGGGTACTGCACTTTCTACATATCCTGAGAGGATAGGACTCCCTGGCAAAGACACTCAAGTTGGGTAATGTTGGGAGCACTAGGAAAATAGAAAGCTGTAATGTGAGATGGACTAAATCCATTAACAAAATCAAAGCCTTTGATTTCCAAGATCTGAGGAGGGCTGCTAATGATTAGACTTTATAGAGGTCACCAACTCAAATAATGCCGTTAAGTCAGAAATAAGTGATGACATATACAGGTCACTATGTTTGATCAACAGTTACTCAGGATTTGGCACATGAGGGCAACCAGATCAAAGGTGAGTCTGTTTCCTAAAAGAGCAGGGAGCAAATTCAAGAGCAGTGGAAAGGAAACAGGGCAGCCACAGGTATGTATCTTTGCCCAAAGGAGCAAACAAAGAAAAAAATACAAGAAGCTGAGTCTGTGTTACAGACCCTAAGATGAGTGTCTTCTTTCTTAGAAAGCGATCTTTGAGACTAGTGCTGAATACAGGCTAAAAACAGAGACTGGCACATGGGGCTGCTGAAAAATGCTCTTGGATGTTGATATGCAAAAAGCAGACAGTTTTGTCTGTCACACTTTGAGGAGACAAATATAGCATTGGTTGGTTATGATGCAGGAAAAAAGTGGTCTCTGACAAGACTGACTGATCTAGCTGCTAGTACTGCTGGTGGACAAAACACACTTTGCATTTGCTTCATCCTCCTTATAAGTGACAAGCCAAAATTATCATAGACTCCTCTCAAAGGTCCCACAGCACATACCTAAGCAGGTGCCTGACAATCTCTTCTGCTCCTCAGGGTCCTGGACAAAAGGATCATCTCCTTCTTCCAGTGAGAACACGAGGTCTGGTTCAGGAATGGCTTTCAAAGAAAGAAGCAAGCAGGTGACTGCAAAATTTACAAGCATTCCAGCATATCGCTACAAATACACAAGGTGGCTTCTTATTCATATTTATTACACAGCTATTAACCTGGCCATCTAGGAAATATATTTTAGAAGCTGCCATACTGTTAGACTACAGATGCCATCCTGAGGTCGGTGAGTAGGGGTGTACAATGTCCTACAGAGCAGGCTGAGGATAATTTATCATGAGGAAGCAACCAGTCCCTTAAACCACCGGTCCCCAATCTTTTTGGGACCACAGACCGGCTGAGCCTCTGAGGAAGGCAGGGGTGCACACTCACGCAGACAGGTGCTCTCAGGCAAATGCGCATGCGCAAAGCGGTGTTTGTTTGTTTATTTGTTTTATATCCCGCCTATCTGGTCAGTTATGACCACTCTGGGCGGCTTACAACGTAAATAAAATACAAATAAAATACACAATTGAATATAAAATTATTAACATAATGAACAATAGACAAATTCAGTAAGATGGAAAACGAACAGTAGGGGAAAAAGGGAAGGAAAACATCAGGGATTAACTGGGGGGGAAGGTCTGCTGACCACTAGCGCCAGCATGAGCGCTCCCCCACTCTTTCATGCATGCGCAGGAGCGCCCGCACACCTGCCCATGTGCCCACTCACTGCTTTGCTCAGGCGCATGCATGAAGGGGTGGGGGAGCGCTCACGTTGGCATACGCATGCACAAAGCAGCTGTGGGGAGGCGAGTGTGTGCCGGGGGGGAGGTCTGTCTCTGTGGCCCAGTCCAGCTCAGGCCACAGACTGGCATCAGGCCATGGACCGGGGGTTGATGACCTTTGCCTTAAACTACTTCTCTCTCAATGGCATGTCAATTTCTTTTTATTTCCAGGCTGTGACCTATCAAGAGCTAAACAATGATCTAGTATTCCCACCAGCTATCATGCTCCAACTGAAGGAATCCTTATTTGAAGGATCTTAACTTCCTGGCCCACAGAGCACTGATGGAGAGGCAAGTCTCTGACCCTGAGAGAAAAGCAGAGAGAGCTGAGGGACATTGCTGGGTCCCTGGTCAGCTCCTTCTGACTGTCATTTTGGACCCTTGGCTCTTTTTTTTTTGCCCTCAACACAGGCCGCCTGCCCTCTGGTTACACACTCTAAGACCTTGGACTGCCTTGTGATGCTGGGATAGACTGCCCTATTCCAGAATCCCCACTCTCTAGGGCAAACTTTGGAGTGTCTGAATCCAGGCCTTGGCATCTGCCGAGCTCTCACCTGAGCATGCAAATATTTCTTCTGAATTAGACAAAGAGAGAGAGAGAGGCACATGTGAACCGAAGACAACAGGCATCCCCTCACCTTTAAGCTTCACAGAATGAAAAGCATATAGGACAATAAGAAACTATTGATTTCATTATGACCTGTGGTTAATCACTGGATTTTTGGGAAGAGAAGCCACATAATTTTTCATTTGAGGAGTTCTACCCAAGAAAGAAGGACCTAGCTCTTCCTAGATTTCTCTGTTTAGAAAGAAAGCTTTCCAAATAACACTGGGGCAGGAAGAGGAACTAGGCTAACTTAGTCTCACAACTTGAAGCCTTTCTCCCAGCTGAGGCACATTTAGCTGTCTAGAAGTTTTCTCTCTGATATGGTCTAGTTTATGATTCCTTATTCTGTCTCACAGGGAGTGTGATAGCAACAGAGATGGGCAGAAAACCCAGAATGCATAATTATGAAGTTTGTAATCCAAGAATTTTTTTTTTAAAAAAATCTCCCTAATGATTGTATCAACCACCTGGGACACTTATGTGTTCCAACAGGTAAGAAATGTTTTGAAAAGAAAATCAGACATCCTAGCCACTGGCATGCATTCTGTCCTTACCCAGAGAGGTTATCATCCCATGGATCTCCAGCATGACTTCCTTATACAGAGCTTTTTGGCCTGGATTAAGGAGATCCCACTCCTGCCGGGTGAAAGACACTGCCACCTCTTCGAAGAACACGAGCTGCTCAAAGAAGGATGCAAAAAATCACCTATTCAGATATATTCCGCCAATGATATTGACAGGTTCCTACCATGTGGTAGCAAATACTAACTGAGTGGCTTTGCAAAAAAATCACCTATTCAGATATATTCCGGCAATGATATTGACAGGTTCCTACCATGTGGTAGCAAATACTAACTGAGTGGCTTTGCAAAAAAATCACCTATTCAGATATATTCCGGCAATGATATTGACAGGTTCCTACCATGGGGTAGCAAATAATAACTGAGTGGCTTTGCAAAAAAAAACTTTCACTTTCCCTTTATCTTACTAGGCTGAACAACATCAGAAGCAATATACAGTGGACCCTCGACGTACGCACAGCTCGACGTGCCTACTTTTCGAGGTCCGGACTTCTCCGGGCACAAGATTTCCAAACAGAGAATCGACCTATGGACCGGAAGGGGGAGATGGGGAAAGCCCCAAATTCAAATTTGGCACTTTCCTCGCCTCCCCCTTCCAGTCCGTAGGCTGCCAATCTGCCTCCGGATGCTTTCCAGGGCTTCTCCGCCGCCATAGGAGGCATCTTTTAGGTCCCCCGCCGCTGCCAATACTGCCTCCGAAGCACTGTTGTCCAGAAGATGGGGGAAGATAGTCATCACCCTTGATGGAGACCAAGTCAACACAAGTGCTCTGCTGATCCTGAATAGGGACTGAAGAGAGCACTTTATCCTTTTGATGTTTAGAGGATTGTAAAGTAGACGACGACTTCTTAGGCTTCTTCGGTTTCGACTCCTGGTCTGGTACCGAAGGAGACTTCGGTACCGGTGTTGACTTAGGGGTCGAGCTACCCGCCCTAGGTTTGGAAGGCAGTTTTGCTTTAGATTTAGACTTAACTGAGGAGGCCACTGAAACATCCGGAGATGGTAGCTGAGCTGGAGGCCACTGTGTGGGCTCCATAGCCGAAGTACGGCAAAGAGATCTTTCCCACAAATAAGTTCGTAGATGCTGCTGTCTCAATTTAAGAGCTTCTTCAGTAAATTTCTTGCAAATGGAGCAAGACGCTGGCTGAAGGGATTCACCAAGGCAAAAGAAACAAGCGTTGTGGCCATCAGTAAAGGGGATTTTACTAGGACACAAGTGCACTGTTTAAATGGTGCAGAGGAGGCCATAAACTAGCAAAAAACAAGAAAAAGGGATAAAAAGGGGGACTAACCAACATGAATTTGACCCAACTCCGGGAGGCAGTGGAAGACAGGAGGGCCTGACGTGCTCTGGTCCATGGGGTCACAAAGAGTTGGACATGACTAAACAACTAAATAATAGGGAGGGGGGCAGCAAGGGAGGTAGAACAGGAAAAATCTCACAGAAGTCCCTTTTGAACACATTAGCAAACGGAGCTCGTCAGAGAGACGAAAACACAGCGGTGGCAAAAAGGGACTGAGACTCTTGCCTCAATGGGCGGATCACGTGTACTGTGGGGGGCAGTCCTAGCGAAGAGATGGTTGGACAGTGTCATTGAAGCAACCAACATGAATTTGACCCAGCTCCGGGAGGCAATGGAAGACAGGAGGGCCTGGCGTGCTCTGGTCGGACACGACTAAATGACTAAACGACAACAACAACAACAACAACATAGGCAACATAGGCATAGGGCCTGGCGTGCTCTGGTCCATGGGGTCACGAAGAGTCAGACATGACTAAACGACTAAACAACAACTTGATCTAAGAGGACACTCTGTAGCACAGAGAGAAGGAAAAAAGGAGGAAGTAAAATTATGTTTCCCCTTCATGGATCACTGCCTTGTCGTGGAGAAGGGGCTTGAGTAACTCAGAGAAGCTAATGGGCTATGCTGTGCATGGACACCCAAGACGGACAGGTTCTAGTGGAGAGTTCTGACTAAACGCAATCCATCTGGAGCAGGAACTAGCAAGCCACTGCAGTATCTTTACCAAGAACACCCCATGATCAGAAACAAAAGGCTAGAAGATATGATGCTGGAAGGTGAGACCCTCAGGTTGGAAGGCATCCAGCATGCTACTGAGGAAGAGTGGAGGACAAGGACAAGTAGCTCCAGAGCTAATGAAGTGGCTGGGCCAAAACCGAAAGGACGCTCAGCTGCAGATGCACCTGGAAGTGAAAGGAAAGTCCGATGCTGCAAAGAAAAATACTGCATAGGAAGCTGGAATGTAAGATCTATGAACCTTGGTAAGCTGGATGTGGTCAAACAGGAGATGGCAAGAATAAACATTGACATCCTGGGCGACAGTGAACTAAAATGGATAGGAATGGGCAAATTCAATTCAGACAATTATCATATCTACTATTGTGGGCAAGAAGCCCGTAGAAGAAATGGAGTAACCCTCATAGTCAACAAAAGAGTGGG